CATGTTTGTGCCAATTATAAGATATAAATGATATATTTTATTTCCTATCAAAATACCTCTTTGTTGCAGATTTAAGAACGGAATTTCTGAAAAATTAAAACTATTATGTAAGTTAGAAAATTATTTTAAAAGAAATGATGCCGTCATTCGTCAGATAGTGAAGTCGGCGTTGATGACATCGGTACCGCCCAACCCCCCCCCCACACACTTTTTTTTTTTTTACGGTACTAGTGATCTAAATCTCATGTGAATGAAATTGATATAAAATACATAAAGCACATTCAGACATAATTATAGCGTTATTTCAAATGATAAACACTAATCCAACCCCCTAATCCCTTGCAGTCTTTTGCTATCTATGTCTGACAACCATACGTTTCCGACGCATAAAGAAAAATTCAATCAGAGACGTATACAAATTAGTATAAGCTATTCAATTAGTTACAATAATGTTTGTTTGGACTTATCCTGATATGTCGGAGTAATCATTCTCCTCAAGTGTTGGTTGAGATACATCTAATTTTTACTTCCTAAATTCTCAGATTTCTCTGGAGAAATTTATTCTAGATATACGTCGACAAAGGACGTATCTGCGTCCACAGGGACCCGCAAGTCTTAAAGTGTACCCTGAATGAAAATAGAAACAAAAATGTCGAAAACTGCATAAAAACCGGTCGTAATCGTAACTCGCGGTGAATGGGACTCTATCGGCTGTGACGTCACAAGTTAAACGCCTCTAGCAGTCATCATGGCAGGAATTCCGTCTTTGCGTATTGCAGAGTTATCTTCTCTTGGGAGCAGGTATTGATTGTTGCGTCATTTGTTTGTGTGAGAAAATTTCGTCGTTTTCTCAAAAATTGATGACGTTTCTCTCACAAACAAGTGACGTAACAATCAATACCTGCTCACAAGAGAAGATAACTCTGCAATACGCAAAGACGGAATAGGTGAGTTAGAGAACAGCCATGGCCATACAGCGTCAGATGGCGGATTAATATTTCTTTTTTAGTTTTGAGGAATCAGATTGTGCTGAAGATAACATTATGAAGATGGTATTCAGCCATATAAAATATGCCAGAATTTCCATACAGTGAGTTTAATTGATATCAAACGGACGACTCTGAATAGGGCGGATTGGTCGAGTAGTTAATACTTCGGCCTTCCACGCAGGCGGCCGGGGTTCGATCCTCGAAGTCGTCGCACGCATGGAATATCAGAGAAAGTGTTTTTCTCCACACAACTCCACACCACTCCAACAACCCAGGTGGAGTATGAAATGGTCTGGGGTGGATGTTGCGGTATCTGTGCTGTAGCATTCAAGTGAGGTGGCACTTTAAATAATGCCGTTTGAAGCACGGTTCCACTACAAACAGAACACATCACATCTCCAGCACACACGAAGGCATACACATATAGGGAGATTTTAGCCAGGTGGCATAGGACTAGTAGTTAGTGCCTGATAAGGCAGCTCCTGTGAATTCTTAAAAATTGAATTGATTAATGTAAATGCTAATTGTATTAATTGTATATGTTAGCTAGATAGAGCGCTATATCAAATGCTGTATACTATTATTATTATTATTAACACACCCTGGAAGCATTTCGTGTCCTGATTCTGACCACTGATAAGAAATTTGTCGAATAAATGCAAATACTCTCAATGTTGTCAATCAAAAATGATTTTTATTTCAGCTGGAAAGTGAGTTTCCAATTATTTTCTTTACTCTACACAGACGTATACACTTTATATTCCCTGCTCTACAGTCACATACTGTGGCACCACTACGGTCCCAAAACCCCCCGGAAATGTATCATTGAAAAATGCTTACAAAATAACTTCAACGTTGGTATATACTGTTTTTGAATGTCAATAAAATGTATGGCATTTTTTCAGTATTACCATTTAATGACAAATAGACGATATTGTGTCTTCCTTATGTTAGGTAAGATACATATAAAGCCAGTAGTATCACTGACTTAGATTATACGTCTCTGGTTAGTTCGACACTTCAAATAAACAGCAAAATACCGACACACATTTATTTGTATACAATACAGTACTTCTGTATGCGATGCTAAATTATATCACGGACTAAGACAATCTAATTCCGTGATTATATTTATCTCAAAAATATAATTGTATTATGAGATTTAAACTTTTTCTTTTCATATACATGTAATATACCCAAGTTATAATTTAACATATTGGTTCAATAATGAAAATCGTCTCGATCCACTCCCTTAGCCTACTTAGGTGTGACATTTGTGTACATGTAAATAACACTAAACACACCCGTGGCCAGTGCTGGCAGCAGGAGGCCCAAGACACATCTATATACATTAGGTATGACATCAAAGGGATGTTAGCAGGTGGGCTAGGGGGTACATGAAGTTAGTATATTTATATTTATTTATTTATTTACGTCTCAACTCATTACATATTACATCCATAACTGCCTAAATCAACATTAGAATACACACATGTTAAACATATTTATCAACACTATAAATATTTAATTTACATCAGTAAATTATCGCATAATTCATCTAAAATATAAACTTATAAATAAACCATATCTTTGCTAAAATATGCTCATTTTATCAAGGAATCATATAAACATATTCATGCGATAAGATTATATGTCTTCCAATTTTCCATTTAACTGCAATGTCCTCAGTCTAGATAACGGGGAAATGTATAAGCAGAGACGTTTATATTACGTTTCTGGTATAAGGATCAATTTCAAGAAAAAGATAAATAAATAAAATGTGTAAGTACTGCCAAAGAGTCACATTATATGAAAATCAAAGTCAGTACAACTGCATCACAGGACAGATGAAAGTCATTAACAAGGAAAATAATGCTGGACCCTGTTATGCACATTATATATTACTAATCTCTGTGAGACTTGAACGGACCGGTTCTCCCTCTGCAAGATATTTTATTTGAAATTGGTGTGTAATACAATATCTCTTATGTGTTAAATTCCATGGATTGCTTAAGAATAAAAAATATTTCAAGATTTTATAACTGGGGGTAAAAATAATCAGGTTGCTGCTCAATTTGAGCATAAATTATTGTACCGGTGCATGTTTTCGTCTGTTTCAAACGTATATCTACATATTGTAAAGAAAAGGGGTGGGGTGCGCCTACGTTAATTTGACTCAATTTGTACTCAATTGCTTTGTATTGTATATAGGTGATCACCAAATTTTCTTGAGATCAATTCAATACTAAAAAGTATAATATTTACATTCACTAGATTAACGAATTATGTCAAAACACGGATTCACATTTAGATAGCATCCGCATATGTGTTCGGACACCCGCATACAGCACATGCTTTGTCTTCTCAGTAGGAACTCATTTCTTCATTAATATGGGGAAAACAAATTATATGTACGCAGTACTTTAAATATTACCTACACAAGTAAATGACGACGGAATATATCATATAAGTAGCTAAAAAGCTCACATATCGAACGCTTGATCAAAGCTTCCCGGTATAGGGCTGTTTTGGCAGCGTTGAACTTGTGACGTCACATATGTGGGCTACCCATATCGAGGCGATCGTCGCTGAGCCAAAGGTGTGTTTTTCAGATCGTTCGATTTGATTGTATCAAACGAATGATTTTCATAGCTTGATATAGCAAAACGTTCAGGGTACATTTCTTTGGTGCGGTTAGAAGGAGGGCGGCAATTATTTCGAGAAATAGTGTTAACCACTAAAACATCTTATTTATACTTCCTAAATTTTCAGATTAAGTTAATCTACATGACGCCTTATCACAAAAACAAGAGGAAGAAGAGGAAGAAGAACATATAATATTACTACACGGCGCGATAGGTACAAACAAAGAACTGAAGCAAATTCACGGGTTCCTGTGGCTGAAACCATTGGTAGTAGTAACCTTGCGGTATTTACCTTCGGAATAACAATAGCTGCAGGTAACCACGTATAAACAATTATAAAGCAAAGACCAGATGATAGTTGGGATTAGTTCACTATTGTTTAGGATAGTGAAATCAGTGCTGTTTGTGCAATAAACATTTCAAAATGGCTGTCAAGAGAAAGCAATACAAAACTTTGGTTCAAGGCTGTTTTAAGGAAGGAATTACACAAGTAATTCGGATTTCAGATTATGTTTTCATCACTCAGACAAACGAAAATGTGTAACTTGAGGTTACAGCACGGAATTAGATTATCTAAGTCCGTGGGTACAGCAATGAGTATGATTAAGCGTAACATAGTGCATAGAATGTATACATGTATATTGTGTTGTAAGATGTATAGATAAGATACATGTACATATAACTTACGCTCCGGCTTCAATATCATTCATATACATACTGATTATAATTATCAGATAATACCACTAAAGAGAATATCATAAGAATTATACCTGTTTGAGATATATATAAAGGAATATTTTAAGAAAGAAAAAACAATAATTACCTGGAATTCGCTTGCAGCATTTCAGTTGGATTTGTAAGATAATACAGGAATAATACTCTTTGCAAATACATCACATTCACTTGTTTTATACATATGATGATATTCATATCCAATATTTTCCAAACACAAGTTCCATTTTTCATCTCCTTTTGAACATTTGCGATCGCCTAGTTTAAATAAAAACAAACAATTACACGTACGTTATTTAGTTTGGGTTGTTTATTAATTTTCGACAAATTGATAAAATATTTTTTTTAGCAACAAATTAAGAATTTGAGACTAAAAAAATAAACACCCACTAGACGTATCCGTTTGTTCAAGACTAATAGAATCTATCACTCCTGTGTGATATAGACAGAGATATCTCAACCAGAGGGTGAGATATTTTTTTTAGGTTTAGCACGAGGCTTTGCCGAGTGCTAAACCTAAAAAAAATATCTCATCCCGAGGGTTGAGATATCTCTGTCTATATCACACAGAAGTGATTGATTATTTTTCTCCCACATTTTCATACCGTAAAAATACCTCCACTGCGAAGTTGTATTTTTGACCCCGATGCACCGTACTATCATCAATGGCGCATGAATACACGCATAGCCGCTGTACTGCAAATGTGTGTAAAAAAAATCCGCAACGTCAATAATAAATAGAAGTCATAATTAAATTTAGATATTTTATACATTAGTAGTATTAGCAACGTTATATTGTATATTAACATTTTTTGTCATAAGATTAAGCGATATAGTGTCTTTAACGAAAACACACAGAACTAATTGCACTCCCTGACTTCACGCTTCGAAAAGTTCACTCGGAGTCAGAATACAACACCCTCGGTCGTTTCGTTTTGGGGGCTGACATCGTTGTGTTATTGTTTATAGTTATGTTAAAGGTTCCTCCAGTGATTGTTGTGCCTTGGAAGATACTTGGGATTTCACATTCATTGGATTTTAATTTACGAACGCGTTCAGGTTCGCACAAGGACATGCTGTTGTGCGCTGTAGTCACATGTGTAATATTTGTTGACTGTTCGTTTGACATTGGCCGATGTGAGGTAGGTGCACTAGACCCAGTGTGTCGTCCTAAGTCCGTTTGTACGGTTTTATTTGG